CATTTAAGGTACAAAGATCCCTCACCAATGCACCAAAGACATACCAGGAGTGATCAAAGAGCTACAAGAAAAACCAGAAGAATGTAAGTCTCAACAGCCAGCCAGAGAGGGGGCTTCAAGAAGGAGGGAGTAATCAGCAATGTTCTGTGATGCCACAGAGTCAAGCAAAGTCCGGAGGTGTTTTCACAGAATTTGGCCGTAAGCAGCTCAAGAGTGACTTTGAAGAGAACGAACGAAGTCACGTTGCAGCAGAATGAAAACCGAGAGGAAATGTAGGTAACTCTTCGAGATGTCTTCTGTGAAAAGGAAGAGAGCTAAATTGAAGACTATTGGCTATCAAGAATATTATATCTTGGTATGCTACGAGGGAAGGTTTTTATGATCGAAGTGTCTTGACTCCACTTAAAGGCCATTTAAAATTATGTAATCAACTATTTTATTGATTAAAAAGATGTTAATGATATATTCTTAACTGAAATGAGATCACAACTGAAAAAGTGTTCGACGTGCACTTCTGTTCATGTGCATATGTACACATAAATAGCATTCTGGAAGTACATACACCAACGTACTAACCATATTTACCTGCAAGAAGATAAACAAACACACTTAAATCTTTTATTCTGTCAGGCATGGGGGCTCACACCTATAATCCCAGCACTCTGGGTAGGCCAAGGCAGGAAAATCTCTTGAGCCCAAGAGTTTGAGAGGGTAACATAGGGAGACCCCCACTTATAAATAATTTTTTTTAATTAGCTGGGTGTGGTGGCATATGCCTGTGGTCCCAGCTACCGGGGAGTCTAGGGTGGGAGGATCACTTGAGCCTGGGAGGCTGAGGCTGCAGTGAGCAGTGTTTGCACGGCAGAAGATAATTGGATCATGGGGGAAGTTCCCCCAGTGCTGTTTTCATGTTACTGAGTGAGTTCTCACAAGATCTGATGGGTTGTTTTTTTTTTTTTTTTTTTGAGACAGAGTCTCACTCTGTCACCAAGTGCCAGGCTGGAGTGCAGTGGCACAGTCTTGGCTTACTGCAACCTCCACCTCCCGGGTTCAAGCAATTCTCCTGCCTCAGCCTCCCAAGTAGCTGGGACTACAGGCGCACATCACCACACCCAGCTAAATTTTGTATTTTTAGTAGAGACGGGGTTTCACCATGTTGACCAGGATGGTCTCGATCTCTTGACCTCATGATCCACCCGCCTCGGCCTCCCAAAGTGCTGGGATTACAGGCTTGAGCCACTGTGCCCAGCCAATCGGATGGTTTTATAAAGCAATTTTGCCTGCTGTTGCTAGCTCTCTCTTTCCAGCCACCATGTGAAAAGGTCTTTGCTTCCCTGTCACCTTCTGCCATGATTGTAAGTTTCTTGAGGCCTCCTCAGCTATATTGAACTGGAACTGTGGTCGACTGCACCTCTTTTTTTAATATAAATTATCTAGTCTTAGTTCTGTGTGTGTGCGCGTGTGTCAGAATCTCACTTTCTCACTCAGGCTGGAGTGCAGTGGCGTGATCTTGCCTCACCGCAACCTCCACCTCCCAAGTTCAAGCAATTCTCCTGCCTCACCATCCCAAGTAGCTGGGATTACAGGTGCCTGCCACCACACCTGGCTAATTTTTTGTATTTTTATTAGAGACAGGGTTTCACTGTGTTGGCCAGGTGGGTCTCGAACTCCTGACCTCAGGTGAGCCACCCACCTTGGCCTCCCAAAGTGCTGGGATTACAGGCGTGAGCCACAGCATCTGCTCTCAGGCAGTTCTTTATAGCAATGTGAGAATGGACTAATACAGGAAGTTGGTGCTGCAGAAAGTGGGGTACTGAGATACAGGGACAGGAAATGTGGAATCAACTTTGAAACTAGGTAACAGGCAGATGTTAGAATAGTTTGGAGGGCTTGGAAGAAGACAGGAAAATCTGGGAAAGTTTGGAACTCCCTAGAGACTTGTCAAATGGTTTTGACCAAAATGCTGAGAGTGATGTAGACAATGAAGTCCAGGCTGAGGTGGTCTCAGATGGAGATGGGGAACTTCTTGGAAATTGGAGCAAAGGTCACTCTTGTTAAGCTCTAGCAGAGCAACTGATGGCATTTTGCCTCTGCCCTAGAGATCTGTGGAACTTTGAACTTGAGAGAGATGATCTGAAATTGGAACTTATGTTTAAAAGGGAAGTAGAGCATAAAAGTTTGGAAAATGTGCAGCCTGTCAACATGATAGCAAATAAAAACCCATTTTCTGGGGAGAAATTCAAGCTGACCAGAGAAACTGCATAACTAGGAACTGAATGTTAATTACCTTACCAACACAATGGGGAAAATGTCTCCAGGACATGTCAGGGCCTTTCACAGCAGCCCCTCCCATCACAGATCCAGAGGCCTAGGAAGGGAAAATGGTTTCCTGGGCCAGGTCCAGCATTCCCCTGCTGTATGCAACCTTGCATTTGGTGCCCTGCACCCCAGCCACTCCAGCTGTAGTTAAAACAGGCCAAGGCACAGCTCAGGCTGTTGCTTCAGAAGGTGCAAGCCCCAAGCCTTCGCAGCTCCCATGTGGTGTTGGTCCTGTGGGTGCACAGAAGACCAGAATTGAGGTTTGGGAACCTCTGCCTAGGTTTCAGAAGATGTATGGAGGCACATGGATGTGCAGGCAGAAGTTTGCTGCAGGGGTGGAGCCCTCATAAAGAACCTCTGCTAGGGCAGAGCAGAAGGGAAATGTGGAACTCCCCACAGAGAGTCCCTACTGGGGCACTGCCTAGTGGAGCTGTGAGAAGAGAGCCACTGTCTTCCAGACACCAGAATGGTGTCTTGCACTGTGCACCTGGAAAAGCTGCAGACACTCAAACTAGCCATGAAAGCAGCTAGTGTATCGGGGGTGGAGCACGGGGCTAGGGCTACGAAGCCTTGGGGCAGAGCTGCCCAAGGCCATGGGAGCCGATCCTTTGCATTAGTGTGCCCTGAATGTAAGACATGTAGTCAAAGGAGATTATTTTGGGGCTATTAGATTTAATTTTGAATTTGGGGTTGCATGGGACCTGCAGTCCCTTTGTTTTGGCCAATTTCTCCCGTTTGGAATGGGAGCATTTATCCAACGGCTGTACCCCCATTGTATCTTGGAAATAACTGACTTGCTTTCAATATTACAGGCTCATAGGTAGAAGGGACTTGCCTTCAGATGAGATTTTGGACTTGGACTTTTGGGTTTAATGCTGGAATGAATTAAGACTTTGTTGGGAAGGCATGATTGTGTTTTGAAATGTGAGGAGGTGAGATTTGGGAGAGGCTGAAATGGAATGATATGGTTTGACCATGTCCCCACCCAAATCTCATCTTGAATTGCAATCCTCATAATCCCTTGTCAAGGGAGGGACCTGGTGGGAGGATCAAGGGGGTGGTTTCCCCCATGCTGTTCTCATCATGAGTTCTCAGAGATCTGATGGTTTTATAAGGCAGTTTTTCCTGCTTTTGCTAGCTCTCTCTTTCCTACCACCATGTGAAGATCTTTGCTTCCCCTTCCCCTTCCACCATGATTGCAAGTTTTCTGAGGCCTTCCCAGCCATGCAGAACTGTGAGTCAATTAAACCTCTTTTCTTTATAAGTTACCCAGTCTTGGGCAGTTCTTTATAGCAGTGTGAGAACAAACTAACACACCCCTCTTCCTTTTTATTTCTACTAAGTCAAAGTCAGTGCTTGCATAAGCAATTAATTACAGTATTAGTTATGAGTAATATTTTTGGGGGATTTTCCTCTTCATGAAATAGAGAATGTAGCTGCCCTTGGGCATTTGAAGATCCAAGACAGATGAGAAATAAACAGAGAGTGCATTAGAGAATCCCTAGTATCTTTGCTTTCAGGGGAAAACAATTAGTGATAGAGTTCCATAAAGTTAAAACCCAGAGCATAAAGCTGACCTCAGTGAATCAGTCTTCATCCATGTAATCAAAACTGCAACCTACCCTGCTCCTGCTGTTCTCACTCACATCCACTCATTCACATGCACGTCACACACATACTAGCTCAGAACCTGCTACTAAAGGGAAATTAAGGTCCGGTCTCACATCAGGATTATGAGCTCTGGCATCAGAATGAACTGGGCTCTGGCCCTAATTCTGCCACCACACCAGAAAGCTACAGAACTCTCTAAATTTTGTTTTATCATCTAGACAGTGAAGGGAAAAATAGATCTCTGATGGTTAATGTTAGGTGCCAGCTTGACTGGATTAAGGGACATCCAGACAGCTGGTAAAGTATTATTTCTTTCTGCACAGATGTCTGTTAAAGTGATTCTGGAAGAAATTGGCATTAGAATCAGTGGACTGAGTAAGGAAGATCCACCTTCACCCACTGTGGGCAGGTACCATCCAGCTGGCTGAAGACCTGGATAGATGGAAAAGAGAATTCTCTCTCTCTCTCTCTCTCTCTCTCTCTCTCTCTCTCTCTCTCCCTCCCTCCCCCCTGCCCCCACCACCAAAGCTGGGATGCCCTCTTTTCCTGCCTTGGACATTAGAACTGCAGGTTCTGTGTGGCCTTTTGAGTCCCAGACTTGTACCAGTGACTCCTCCCCTACCCTACCTTCAGCCTAGGACTAAAAGTTATATCATCAGCTTCCCTGGTTCTGAGGCTTTCAAATTTGGACCAAGCCACCCTACTGGCTTCCCTGGTTCTGAGGCTTTGGACTTGAACTGAGCCACACTACCCACTTCCTTGGTTCTCTCACCTGGAGACAGTTTATGTTGGGATTTCCTCTGCCTCCATATCATGTAAGCCAATTCCCCTAATAAATCCTCTCTCACATATCTCTATCTCTATTTATCTTTATCTCTATCTTATTGGTTCTTTCTCTCTGGAGAATCCTGACTAATACAAGGTCCCACCTCAGAGTGGTGAAGCTTATTTTAGGCAATGCATTAAAGCATCCAGCATAGTCCTTGGCATGTTAATTACCAGTTCTCCTTAAATGATGGCCATTAGACATACTTACATAATTACTTCTGATAAGAAAGTAAACTCAAGAGTCATACCAATGACTTTTATTTAAGATGATTTCTGAGTTGATGTGTAAGAAGGGTTGGGGAAGCTATGTGGGTGGCTCTTTAAATATCTTATATTACATTTTCAAATTTGTCTTTATTCTATTAAAGTACCTGTTATTCTCTTTATTTCCATAAAAGGGCAACCGAGCAGATTGTACCCTCAACTAAGATGCCAGGAGCAATTAAGGTATGATGCAAGTCATCTTGGAACAGCCACATACCCTGCCCACTGCAGTCACTCAGCATCTGCACTTGCTTTTTACAGCTGTTCCTCACTCCCCCACCACCCCCATCCATATCTTGAAATGGCATATTAGGGCTCAAAGAAAAAAACATAAAACAGTCACATCTGATGTCATGATGTGCAAGCGGAGTACTATTCAGGCCCTTTTTCAAACAGGGGAGCCATGTGTGCGTCTCCGTGTTCTTCTTTCCTGGAGCTTCTTTCTTCCTCTACTTTCTTTCGGGATTTTATCTCCATTCTCAGGCATTCTCTTTCATTTTGCTCCTTTCTGCTTTCAGGTCCCTGAAAGGGAAAGATCAGAAACAGCTTAAAAAAAAAAATGCACAAGCAGCTGGTAACACTCCACATTTATCTTAATAATCAGACACGAAGAAAGCCCTGATGGTTTAGCAGACTTCCACATCTTGGTTCATAGAAATAAATTAGCATAAACCTAAGGATGTTGCTAAAGGTTTTGGTCACAAAGAAAAGACATAGAAGAGCTTGGGCACCAGCTGACGGTCTGGGAAGGAAGTACAACCTGCACATGCCTGCCACTCTGTCTCTGAACATACTGAGGGGTGTGATTTCATGGCACAATGAAATTAATAGTTTCCTGGTGTTATATGAAAAAGGAAAGTGGCAAGTGAGATCACACGTGGAATGATTCTTAGCTCTCTATGTTCACTCCGTTAAATTACATTCATAGTAGAGTCTGCACTACAGGTTGATGTGAGAACTGTGGGAAGAATGGAGTGTTAAGGAATCACACTCAGATGGATTAACACGCCCAACATGTGTCCCCGGAATTCCACGTTATTCTCTGATTAGTTGAACATATATAACTGTTGTCAGATTGGGAGATATGACACTAAATAGACCTACTTCTTAGATATTACACCGAGGGGGAAGAATACAGACAGTCATCATCAAGGCTAAAAGGAAATGAAAGAATAATCAATAGTGATAAGTGCAATGGTAACTGGAAACAGAGGAATATGATAAGGACCTATTGGGTGGTGGGGGGGCGGGTTGCTTCTTTAGTTTGTATGGCCAGAGGGTGCCTTTCAAAGGAATTATCAAAACAATGGCATTGATACACATGGCAACACTATCTACTTATGCTTCTATTTTAAAAAAAAATAAACAAGCAAAATCATTACTCCTCTCCTATTTGAACTAGAAATGTTGGGAAGGGAGTATCTATCAAGGGAGTTATGCAATGGTGAGGGTCAGTCACATGAGCAAGGTCATGCTTGCTCAGCCATGCTAGTTGAGAGTTACGGAGGCATCTGTTTACCACAGTGGTGTCAGCCACGCCACAGTGTTAATGCAGTCATGAAGGTCTCTTAACGCCACAGTGTTAATGCAGTCATGAAGGTCTCTTACCAAAACGGTATAACAGGGAGAAAATCAAGTGATGATTAATGACTATCTGAGAAATGCTTGGAAATAATGCTCTACATACTTTTATCACATCACTTAGAAACTAAATGTGAAAATTATCAGTATAAGCCAACTGAAATTTTAAATATCAAAATGACAGAATTGAACATAATTGGTCATGATCAGGACACAAAAACAATTTCTGGCTATGTCAAAATATGTAAAATTTCAATCTGGCTATTAGGATACCTACGGTCCCCAAACAAAAAGCTATAAAAATCAGTTTTAAATTTGCTGAAAAAGAACACTTTCTAATGTAGTTAGCCTTGGGAAAGTGTGTAGATAGTCAAATAGGGAAAAGTTGAAGTGTATCTGTGTATGTTCTGAATTTCTAATTTTGCATTAAGATTTTATAACATACTCTTTAAAAACTGATATAAAATAAAATATTTAATTTAAAAGTAATTATATAATATGCAAATTTTAAAATAATTGTATAAATTCCTAACAGGTTTCTAGTTATTATATATAACTGTGAAAAAGAGTTCTTGAGTTTAAAAAGTTGAAAATGCTTCCGTAATTATCTTGGAACTCAAAAGGAAGAACGTGGAAAATGAATGCAACAAGCATACTTTATATTTTAGAGATAAGATGATGAATATCTCTTTAAGCAAAATGACTTTATGTTTATATACTTTGTGGGCTTATACTAACATTAGCAAATGGGTTATGAGTTGTTAAACAAAAGCCCTTCTGGGCCAGGAGTGGTGGCTCAGCCTGTAATCCGAGCACTTTGGGAGGCCCAGGCAAGCGGATCACTTGAGGTCAGATTTCGAGACCAGCCCGGCCAGCATGGTGAAAACCTGTCTCTAGTAAAATACGAAAATTAGCCAGGCGTGGTGGTGGGTGCCTGTAATCCCAGCTACCCAGGAGGCTGAGGCAGGAGAATCACTTGAACTGGGAAAGAGTTTGCAGTGAGCTGAGATTGCACCACTGCGCTCCAGCCGGGGCAACAGAGCAATATTGTGTGTGTGTGTGTGTGTGTGTGTGTGTGTGTGTGTATAAATTTCTGAAGCCATTAGAATAAATAAAGAACTGTTCAGATTACATTTTTTTTTCAAAATATATTTATACAGTACCTTGTTCCTGGAAGGATTTAAGTTAAGTGAGTCTCCTGAATTAAGATACATTTTAACATGTCGGTTTTAAAACAGGAATTATCTCACTTTTGTTTTATTCTTGTGAAAGGATCATAAACTGAATCTAATCATATGGAAATATCAGAAAAATTCAAACTGAGGCTCATTCTTTTTTATTTTTCTTTTTTATTATTATTACTTTTTGAGATGGAGTCATTCTCAGTTGCTCAGACTAAAGTGCAATGACAAGATCTTGGCTAACTACAACCTCCACCTCCTGGGTTCCACTGATTTTCCTGTCTCAGCCTCCCAGGTAGCTGGAATTACAGGTGCAGACCACCATGTCCAGCTAATTTTTGTATTTTTTAGTAGAGATAGGGCTTCACCATGTCAACCAGGCTGGTCTTGAACTCCTGGCCCAAACTGAGGCTAATTTTAAAAAGTAACTGGCCTTACTCTTCAGAAAATGCTAATGTCGTGAAAAACAAGGAGAGACTGAGAAAGTGCTCCAGGGTAATATAGACAGCAGAGACATTAACATATAGCAACATGATTTCAAATTTCACTATAAAGAATATTATTGGGACAACTGGCAAAAAACATAAATAAAGTTTATAGATTAGAGTTAATAGTATTATATCAGTATTAATTTTTTTTAGTTTAATTATTGCATTGTGTTTATGTCAGAGAATGTTCTTATGCCTGTGTTTGGCTATGGGAGGAAGAAAGATTGTGTAGGCAAATACAGACATATTAGCATTCGGAGGTAATCTAGGGGAAGGGTGAATGGGAATTGTTTGTCTTAGTCTTAACAACGTTTCTCTAGGCCTGAGACAATATGAAAACAAACAATATTTTTGAAAAAAGACAAAACAGAAATTCTTTTTTATTTTTTGAGAGTCTTGCTCTATTGCCAGGCTGCAGAAGAATGGCCCCAATCTCCAGTCATAGCTGACTGCCATCTCAAACTCAGGTGCAAGGGATCCTCCCACCTCAGCCTCCCAAGCAGTGAGGAATACAGGTGCAGGTCACCACGCCTGGCTGATTTTTTTTTAATTTTCATAGATACAGGATCTCACTAGTTTGCCCAGGCTGGTCTCAAATTCCTGGCCTCAACGACCCTCTGGACTCAACCTCCCAAAGTGCTGGGATTACAGGAATTCTTAATAATAAGGTTTAGATACAGTAAAATGACAACTGTTCACTATTCTCCCTTCCTTGTTCCTCTAATCATCAGCCAGGCAAAGATGCACAGTGACAGTCCCAACAGCCAGTCTGCTAGGTAGAGAGCACTGTGCTCAGATGGACAATGGAATGTGAAGCACACACGTGTCTTCACGGTGCACTCGGAGTCTAGCTCCAGAACCAGGAGTCATTACACTTAGGTTCAATTATTTGCTTTATCTACTGCACGGCAGCAACCCATTATTATTCCTGTTTTGCAAAATAAAACAAGAAAACCAAAGACATACAAAAAAAAAGAAGCATTTTTTTCAAGGCCAGTCTGAGCATGCAGCAGAGTTGAAACTACCCCACATTAATTGATCTTTAATTTATTACTTCATGTATTAAGTTTAGTATCACCAATCTCCATTGGTGATACTATTTCTATTCTTCTCCCCATTTCATGCTGTTTTTGCTTTACTTAGACTCCCATGAGGTCACTGTGAGCACCTGGCCCACTCCAATTCCTGGATACTTACCAGACAGTGTTTATTCGTTCCTGTGTTTTTTTAAGTACAGGGGAACAAAACACTATCATGGACTATTTCCTAGTGGATTACATATGAAAGGAGAGAAGCCAGCCAGTGCGGTGGCTCACGCCTGTAATCCCAGAATTTTGGGAGGCCAAGGCTTGAAGATCACGAGGTCAAGAGATCAAGACCATTCTGGCCAACATGGTGAAACCCCGTCTTTACTGAAAATACAAAAATTAGCTGGGCATGGTGGCTCACGCCTGTAGTCCCAGGTGGTTGAGGCAAGAGACTCACAATCACTTGAACCCAGGAGGCAGAAGTTGCAGTGAGCCGAGATCGTGCCACTGCACTCCAACCTAGGCGACAGAGCTAGACTCCATCTCAAAAAAAGAAAGAAATGAGAGAAGCCATAGGGGCAGTGTTTTTTTTTTTTTCCAAATTGTGAAAAAGGAAGGAGTTATAATTATTTATAAGACTGATGAAAGGAGGCTCAAGAAACTAGGGGGCTGAGTGTTGTGGCTCACACCTGGAATCCTAGCACTTTGGGAGGCCGAGGCAGGAGCACTGCTTGATCCCAGAAGTTTGAAACCAGCCTGGGCAACATAACAAGACCCTGTCTCTAGAAAAAAAGAGTTTAAAATTTAGTCGGGCATGGTGGCACATGCCTCCAGTCCCAGCTACTTAGGAGGCTGAGGTAGGAGGATCACTTGAGACCAGCAGTTTGAGGCTGTAGTGAGCCATGATCAGGCCACTGCACTCCGGCCTGGGCACAGAGTGAGACCCTATCTCAAAAAAAAAAGAAAGAAAGAAAAAGAAAAGAGAAAAACTAGGAGAACTTGGTAACAAATATGTTCCAGGAACTCTTCCTATGCCAGATGTCTTCAATTATAAATAATGATTTAAAAAAATTCATTCTGGGTTATGTTAAACTGAGTGTTACTTTTCAAAGATCTTATTACCAAGTTGTAAATGAAGAAGTTACATTTGTTCCCCTCTAACTTAAAGAGAACAAAACCTTTGGATATCTGTTTCTTAAGCGGCTTAAATATTGTGTAGCTCTGTTACATACCAAAGAGGCAGAACGTTTGGTTCTAAAGCACAACTGTTGTTCAAAGGACTCAGATAATTTCTCAATTTTGGAATGGGATCTTCCTTTTGATTCCAGCGGCTCCTTGAATGATCCCTCCTCTGAGCATTTTCTGCAATCCTTCATGTGGCTATGGCATCGAAATTCCTGGTCCTCATGAGAATACCTTCTAGGGAGACGGTCAGATGATCGGCATCGGAATTCCTGGTCCTCATGAGAATGCCTTCTTGGATGGCGGTCAGATGATGGAATTTTGGGAAGCACAGGAAGCTGAGAATACAGAATGAAAAATGGTGTAATATAAAGAGACTGTACAATATTAACACAGAGGCAGAATGTCTATAAACTACTAACTAAATGAATCTCATGTTGAATTGATACGTTATCTTTGTAAAGAGGAAATAAATCTTGGGACCCCCAAATCACTAAGCTAAAGGGAAAAGTCAGGCTGGGAACTGCTTAGGGCCAATATGCCTCCCATTCTTTCAAAGTCACTCCTATGCCCATTCGTTTATCTCATTCATTGAGTCAAATGCATATCTGATTGTCTCCTTTGGAGAGGCTAAACAGAAACTCAAAAGGGTACAACCATTTGTCTCTTAACTACCCATGACCTGGAAGCCCCTGACCACTTTGGGTCTTCCCACCTTTGCTTTGAGTTGTCCTGCCTTTCCAAATTGAACCAATGTTCATCTTGCATATGTTGACTGATGTCTCATATCTCCCTAGAATATATAAAACCAAACTATGCCCTGACTCTCTTGGGCACATGTCATCAGGACCTCCTGAGTCTGTGTCATGGTTATGAATCTTCAGCCATGGCAAAATAAAATTTCTAAATTAACTGAGACCTGTCTCAGATTTTGGGGTTTCACATTTTGGCAACCATGAAGGGATTCTGAGTGGAGCTACCCCCGACTTTGACAAATCTTTTTTCAGTGCTTGGTACCAGCATGAGCTAACTTTATGACTCAAATTGAGGAAAGAGACCCAAGCATCTAAGATCACCTCCCCTTTGACTTCCACACTGCATTTCAATAGAAGAAAAGGCTGGCCAACTGGCACCTCCTTAACTGCCTTCCTATAGATGGCAGGCATAGTATGGAGGGATCTTTCTAGAAGGTATTGTTTTTACTTAAACAAGATCAAACCCCCACCCCTCTTCTACTCCATCGACCAAGAGCCTTTCACATGTAATTTCTAAGGCTGTAAATGCAAGACCCTTTCATGTATAATATCTAGAGTTGTAAACCTATATAAAGGCAGAGCTTCTTTTTGTTAGACAAGCTTGGCTGTTAGACAACTATGTCACCTTGCTCCCGGCTGAAATAAATCACCTCTTCCTTCCTAGTTCGGTGTCCAAAAAGTCTGTTTCTCATGGCCGTTCCTGCTTCAAAACCAATAAGGCAATTTGCTGAGGTCTGAGAGCACCTCCTCCAGAGAATCCTTGTTCTCCCAAAATTTGGTCAAGATCTAAAGTTTTTTTTTCTGTACACCTCCTCTTTTCTTTTTTTTGGAGTATTTTTTCTTTTTGGAGTTTTACTTGCTTCCCACAAGGAAGGCAAGATTTCCTGTTTCCATGATGATGGAAGGCAGGTAACTCCTTTAGGGGGTTTGCACTACTTCCAACAGGGAAGATGAGTGTTTTTTCTCCTTTTTCTTAGGATGGTAGAGAGCAGTCTATAGCCTGAGGCTCATCCCTAAGTAAGTAACTGAGTTAGGGTTTACCTTGGCTAAAGTTATGATTAACATCCAGCTGGCATTAATTTCTCCTTGCCCTTAGAGCACCTAGTGACCATTTAAGTTGTGCAATCATTTCTTTTGCTTAGCAATTTTTATTGTTGATTGTTTCTGTTTTTGTTTTTGTTTCAGTCTTTTTCCCAATGAGTTTGATCAACTCTATCTGACTTGATCAAATCCAAAGGAAATTTCCAAAATTATGGGGAATGAGGACTCTGAAGTGGCTGCATTCCCACTAAGAAAAACAGGTGGTATGGGAGGGGAGAAAAACGACCAGCCAAAAAAAAAAAAAAAAAGGAAATATTTTTTCTTTTGACTACTGAAGAGGCTTTGTTTACATAACAAGGCCATCTTTTTGCTAGCCAGGCCAAACTGAAAGCAACTGAAAGCTGTTGCCCCATGTTGCAGTTTGATAACTAAGGTCCTGCCTTCTTTTTCCCACCACGACAGCCTGGGTTTTGGTTCTGAAATCAAGCCCTTTCTGGTTTGATACTTGGTACTTCTGACATAACCACAATTTGTCCTAGCTAAAATATGGTAATAAGATGTAAAAAGTTTTTTTTAAGGATCTCAATGATTAAAAAAGCTAACATCCAAGATGTGTGTATATATGTGTATGTGTGTGTGTTTGTATTTAAAAGGCCTCCATGTTTTGTTTTGTTTCTGTCTCTTAGGACCTTGTCCTTTTTTGAGCAAAAGTATTTTTCTTCTCAGTTGACTAAATCCTGTTTTATTCATTTACTTCTGCTGTCTCTCCTTTCTCTTGCACCCTCTGCTTCATGAGGGTCCTAAAATAGTTTATAATAGCCCCGGGTTCTTTAACAAAAACAGAGAAGGTGCCAGTCTCCCTTCAGGGAGAAACCTGTTTTTCCTTATGGAACCACAAGAGTGTAAACAAACAAGTTCATCTCAGCTTTTAAACTGCTTGCTTTTGTATTGTGTCACCTGATTTATTGATTAAAATAGTTACTGCAACAGAGGCTACTTGGGTTTGTAAAGAAGAGTGTAATGTCTTTGTTTTAAAAAAAATTTTTTTAAGTGCACTGTAAAAACATCACATGATCTAGCCTTGGGATAATTCTCCATTTTTGGAAACCTAGGATTCAGTGTGGGCTCTGCCCAAAGCTCAGACATCCAGTTAAGACAGGTAGTCCCTATGTAAATAAAATTAGTCTCCTTATACAATCCTATGATAGGTTTGTATAATTTTATGCTTTATTTTGCATCTCTCTTTAATCTCCCTCTAGCACACCAGACTTTTTCTCTCCATACCTTATAATGTAGTTTTTGCTATTACATTTTTCACCTGAGTTGCCTTCTTTAATATGCAAATTTAAGGCTATTTAGCTGACAACTGCCTAGGGTTGTGAAACAGGTTATCAAGAATCCTAAGTCTAAGATAGGAGGAAAAAAAGGTTTTTGTGACTCTATAAGATGTAAATTTAGTCCTAGAGAAAAATGACTGGTTGTGTAAAAAAGAGGGATGCTCAGGACAAACCGGAAATTCCAAGCATGTCATGAATGATCTGTGTAAGTCATAATAAGAGGATTTGTTTTTTTAAAAACCAAAAACTTTATATGATCAAGTTTCATAATATTATTAGGTTTTGGTTTGCTTTAAAAAACTGAAATTTAAAAAATTTTAATTAAAGTTATTACATTATGTATCTCTCTGCATGCACTTTTAAAGTACTTGTGACACTGAGTTACAGGCTTTGACTCCTGGACTTAAAAAGAAAACCAAGTCCCGATAGCAATTAAAGCGCCATCTTCAGGCCCTGTAGAAAATGTCAGTCAAAATAAACGGCATTCCTGAGACACAAGGCCAGAAATTAGAGGTATTCAACTCCTCAAGGGCTGGGGACTATCAAGGAAGAGGTGGGTGTGCAAGATTGTAAGGGCCAATTTTGAGAGATAAAATAAGTTCAGTTTCTCCATAATTTTTTTAGAGGAAGTCTTACTCTGTCACCCAAGCTGGAGTACAGTGGTGCAATCTCAACTCATTGCAACCTCTGACACCTGGGTTCAAGTGATTCTCCTGCCTCAGCCTCCCAAGTAGCTGAGATTACAGGTGCCTACCACCAAACCTGGCTAATTTTTGTGTTTTAGTAGAGATGGGGTTTCACCATGCTGGTCAGCCTGGTCTCAAACCCCTGACCGCAAATTATCTGCCCGCCTTGGCCTCCCAAAGTGCTGGGATTACAGGCATGATCCACCACGCCTGACCAGTTTCTCTATAAATAAATCAATGTCAAAGGCACATTGATTCAAGACCAGCATATGGGCCCCTATGTCAAATTAACAAGGTTTTCTTGAAGTATTAGCCAACTTCTTAATAAAGGTTATAAAAGGCTTATGGAAGTTATATTTTATGGTCAAGATTAAAAATTTTATAGATTGCTTATAAAATTTTAAAAAACAAATTTAATTGGCTTCATGCTGTTTTTGTTAGGGCTAATTGTTTGGAAAATAAGTCTCCTATCTCAAAGAATGAAGATTTCACCTTTTTAAAAAAATCCTTTGGGTTATCACTTTGGTTAAATGAAATGACTTATTTGTCAGTGACCTGTGATCCTATTTTGTGATATCAAGTGTTTTAAACTTTTGATATTTGACAAACATTCTAAATCAAATAATAAATTATGTCTTCTTCTGACCTAATGAATTCTTTGAGATATTAGGTTCCCTAAAGTCCAAAAATGGCATATTTGGCTTAGTTGGTATAACAATTATAAAGGAAGCATTGTCAAATATAAAACAGTGTTTGGTTTTCTTAGGGCTGTATTTGTATAAATATTTCTTGGCATGTGTTCCAAAATGATGGGAAATTCCTATAATTCTGAGATGACTTAATAATGTACATTATCAGTAATAATTATAATTGTTAGTTTAAATTATTGTGTGCCACAGAAGTAACAAATTTCCTTGTCAATTCTGTCTTTAACTGTGGCTGCCCTAAAATATTTCTGTCATCCATGGACAAATGTTGTCTTGTTTTGGTCCTCTTTAGAAGGTGGTTTTATAATCAGCTATAAAACTCTACCAGAGAGACTAGGCATGGTGGCTTAAGCCTGTAATCCCAGCACGTTGGGAGATCAAGTCAGGTGTATCATGAATGAGGTCAGGAGTTCAAGACTAGTCTGGCCAACATAGTGAAACCCCATCTCTACTAAAAATACAAAGAATTAGCCAGGTGTGGTGGTTGGTGACTGTAATCCCAGCTATTCAAGAGGCTGAGGCAGGAGAATGGCTTGAACCTGGGAGGTGGAGGTTGCAGTGAGCTGAGATCATGCCACTGCACTTCTAGCCCAGGCAACAGTGCGAGACTCCAACTCAAAAAAAAAAGGAAGAAATTCTAACAGGTGCTCTTGAATTCAGGTTTCCAATAACTTTGGAGATTTTGACATCAGAATAGAAGAAAATCTTCAGTACTCATAGAGAGCTGAAATGTTTATGACTATCAAGCAGAAGAGGAATTAACTGCATCAACTAAACTAATAGAAGTCTGAAGTAATATTTTTCACTTTTTG